GACCAATCCCCTCCCTAACTCCCCACCTACACTCACCTTTACTGGCCCCATCCCCGCCTCTTCGACCTGTTTGTTTCCTCTCCACCTATCCTCTCCTCTATCCATCTTCTATCCGCCTCCCACTCTCTCCCTATTTATTTCAGAACCCCCTTCCCCTCCCCCTTTTCTGATGAAGGGTCTAGGCCCGAAACGTCAGCCTTTCTGCTCCTATGATGCTGCTTGGCCTGCTGTGTTCATCCAGCCCTGCACCTTGTTGTCTCTAAAGAGGGACATGCCCTTGTTGGGGTGCAGTTGCTCCTAGAGAACCAGAGGGCCCACAAGGAAGTTCCCCTTGTCTAACGCCAAGTCACGCAGTTTAGGCTTCTAGGTCTCCCACATGGAATGGGCCCGCCCCAACTAGTGGGAACTTAAGGACCTCAATAGGCCCAAGGGCAGGCAGCCAACCCAATGCCTCCCCTGAACCCCACTACATTTCTGATAGATTGGGGGCAGGTAAGTAGGCAGCAGGAAGGCTACCCATTAGATTTTAACAGTCAGTTCTGAAGAAGGGCACTAAACAAGAAACACCAACTCTACCTTCTCTCTACAGATGCTGAGTTTCTCCAGCAATTTCTGCTTTTGTTTCAGATTTCCAGCATTCGCAGTTCTTTGTTTTATCATATGGAATTACACTGCAGAGAAGTGACAGCACCTTTGTTTTGTTATAAGTGATTACCTACATGAAAGGGCAAGTAAGGCTCTGTCTCTATTACTCTGTTTTAATGCTGGGGTGAACTAACACAAGGAATTCACCACTTGGGTAGTTATTGGTGAAGAGTTTGCTATAATCCACTATAGTGCACAGTTTCATATAAACTACAACACACAGACAGAACAGTTGACCCAATCAATCTGTAGTAATGTTTATCCTCAACACAAACAGTATTTTAATTCCAGATATGCTTGCCCTTTTACCATATCTCTTCATCTCTATTTCCTTCGCGCATTTATCTAACTTATTATAGAATGCCTCTACTTTGATCACTAACCCCAGTGATACATTGCACAGCCTCACAAATCACGGTGTATTTCAAGTTTCTCCTCCTGTGAAACACTTTCCCAGAGGCAAGCAGGCATTTTCACTTATGCACTGTACAGGTAAGCCACATTGAGGTTACATTGAGTAAACAATTCAAGTTGGTTTACAAATGTCCGCACTGAAACTGATTAACCATTATTATCAATGAAGACATACCTGAGAATCTGTAAAGGCAGTTAATCAGGTTTCTAAAAACAAAGTGAAAAATATAAACGTGCAGCAGCTTACTGTATACCAAGCTTCTTCTGACTACTGAGAGAGAAAGCGTCGTTGGTGAGTGCGTTGAGCACCACAGCTGGGTAAATAACGTACTTCTCCAAACAAAGAAGCCAAACGTACAATTGCTCAAACCACATGAGTTGGGCTGCATCTGGAACACAAAACAAATAATTATGGAGAAGATGGGGGGGGGGGGAGCTGACACATTGTAATCAGCTATGGAACCAAGGCAAGTGGCTGGAGTTAAGTCACAGAACAATCAGCACCTAACCCAACAGACTGAATGGCCTCTTCTTGTTCCTACAATTTCTTCAAGGGCTCAAATAATACCATAGATGAAAGGTGCTGTTAAAAATATCATCTGGGACTGCCAGCTGTGATCCCTTCAGTTCTCTCTTAAACACAGTGTACGTTATACAGCTTGTCAGTATTTGCATGCTATTTTGTTTCAGGTTACATGGGCACTTGGAAGGTGAGGAGGTGAGAAATCAATATCCAACCCTGTACTGTGATTTTTGACTTTATAATGTGGATTGCATTTGGCATTTCAGATACCACCACAAACTCCCAACTTTAACTGCAACACATTGGTTCAAACCCAGTGTAAAACAAAACCTAGCGTCTATACCCTTTCAGCTAGCTCTAAAGGTCCTATGTAGATTATCTTAATCTATTTCCTAACTAGTTGATGGTGTCTGCAGAAATCCTTAAGTCATAGGTGCCATTGTTCAGATGAAATGTTGAACTGAAGCCCCACGTGTCCTCTCAATGAAAGGCTTTCTTCCTTTCATCCTTAACATCTGTGAATGGCAGAAACACTGACAAATGACCCTGATCAGTTACAGCTTTTCTGTTGAATCCCTTAATGTTCTGAGCCATCAGGATACAGAGGATTTAATTTCTAATGAACACTGACACTTAAAGGATTTTTAATATGTTTTTGTTGTAGATGCAAATCCAAATCAACAATTAAATTTACGATCTGCTTCGCAACCTTTTTAGCATATTTTCTTAGATCTAAAGAGCTCAGTTTAATTACAATCATGTTTTAGCTCCAGATAATGTATTACTTTAATTTAGCCCCGTTTCATATTCAGCGCAGTCACAAGGCATGAAGACTTTAATTCCGTACTATTGTCTTGATGCTCAAGCAAATTAGGTTCCACTCTAAATGATCCCTATGTAACCATATTTGGTAAAACTGCAGCAAACCAGAGATCCTTGTCAAATCATTTTCACATATCATTTTCAATGATCATTATCATTTGCAACAAGCAAATATGTGCATTAAATGCAGATACATTATAATAGCCAAAAAAAGTCATGTTTGAAATAAAACTAGTGTTTCTGCCCGGATGCTCTTTCATGCAACGTGTAAAATTGTGCAGTGGTGCAATACTTTGAAAAATAAATTCTCAGAACAGCATCTTTTAAACAAAAAATGTTGTACTTATTTTGCATCCCCATACATAGTGAAATGTCACAGGGTACTTTTATACTAATTCTGACACCGAATCTTATAAGGAGATATTTAGGACAGGCAAAAACACATGAAATAGGTGCAAGAGAAGGCAGTTCTGCCATTTGGGCCTGCTCAGCCATTTAATTAAATCAGGTCTGATCTTCTACCTCAATACCATTTGTCAGCATGTCTTTTGATATCTTTAACATACATCCTGAACATACTAAATGTATAGTCCCCAAAGTCCTCTGGGGTAGAGAATTTCAAAGATTCACCACTCTGAGTGAAGAAACTCTTTCACATCTAAGTCCTAAATAGACCGCCTCTTATTCTGAGGCTGTATTTCCTGGTTCTCGACCGGTGAGCTGGGGGGAACATCTTTTCTGTATCTAACCTATTCAGCTCGTAAGATGTTGCTTTGTTTCAATGTTTGCAGTTGGCTCATTCAAAAGTTTTGTCAGAGGCAGATTTTAAGGAATATCTTAAAGGAAGGAAGAGGGAGAAAGAGGTAGATGGGTGTAGAGAGAGATTTCCAGAGCTCTGGGCCTAGAAGTTAGGTATACGGCTGACAATGGTGGGGCACATGAAACTGGGGATATGTAGGATGCCAGAATTGAATGAAAGCAGATTTCGGAATGTGGTCTGGCTGAAGAAGTTTACAGAGGTAAGGAGGGATGAGGTTATGGAAATTTTGACAAAGAATAGAGAAAATTTAAAGCTCAACACCAATAATCCCTCTATATTTACAAATAATTTACAAAACCAGGTCTGGTTATAATAGCTATCAATTGATCCAATTACTAAATTGAATTGCAGCAAAATTACACACAGGGCATCATATACATTTGGCAGGAAGTCTATAGATGAAACAATGAGCTGTATCAACCAACAAATTAAAAGAAAAAACATCATCCATTTATGAATTATTAATAGTATGTGTTGCAACAATTTTATTATTAAATTCTAATGGATGTACTCACACTGCATAACTTACCTACAGAAATCTGAGATGGCTAGTCACATACTGGTTCAGCAATGCAATCTCCCACCTCATTCCCTGTTCATTCCTGCAACCTCTCCGAGTAAATTAAAAGAAATCAATAGAATGGAATGGAGGGAAAGCATCAGCTCTCATTGCAACATGGTCAGATTTCTACTGCAGTGAGAGGTTCATTCAGGATTCTTAAAAATCTGTCCAAGATAATATGAAATCCCATCACCAATTTTTTTGTTAATTCATGCAATGTGAAGGGAGGGGGGAAATGGGAGGCAATGCCAGAGCAAAGCAATAAGTCTGATGGGCAACAGTCAGGGGATGTGAGTATTACCTGGTTCCCAATTATATACTTTCCTTATATTAGACTTAAACAAAGTTTCTTTAAGAATCAAAAAGTTATTGATTTATTATGAAACAAAAATTAATCAGAGGAGATGTTAAATTGGGTTAACATATTTGACTTGTAATGAAAATATAATTGTTTACCCCTCTAAATAACCCATAGCACGCATACACATTATATGATGCTATATATACACGTGGATACACAGATGCACACATCTCTAGAAGGATTTCTCTCTGTACAGATTCACTTTGGGTAAAAAATAATTCTGGCTAATAAGTCTCAGTTCTTGAAGGCAAAAAGGGTAAGGTGTGGAATGTTCAGATGGTTGTCGGTCTGGGGTTCTAGCATGTGCAGATGGGTGTCACCAACCATAGGCAGTTGTCTTTGAGATATTTGCAAACGTACCTAGGATACAGTATCAAGGATTCTTCTAATCACTCTTCGAGAAGATAATCAGATTTCATACTGAATTCACAACAAGGAATTTTCTTGAAACATGACAGCTGAGATTGGAAGCTTCTCTCTACCTGAAAATTCTAACATTGCTTAAAGGAAACAATAAGTCAAAGCTTTTAGTCTTGCATGCACGAGAACCAGGATACATGAAACAGACTTTTGAAAACAGGATACCAATTTATGCAGCATGACAACAGAGTGCTGATTGGTCGAACTATTGTTAGCATGGAAGTGCAGCAGGAACAGTTAACTGACAATCTTAGCTCTCAGACCAGGCAGGTGGATACTGATTGGCCAGGGTGTTGCTATAGCAATGCAGCAGAGATTGATAATCTCCATGAACACTTTTTTCTCATGAAAAAGGTGCAATGTATTAACAAATTATTTTTGATCACATAAAACAGAATTCTGTAAGTAGCTTCTAGCACTCACAAATCCATCAGACTGAGCACCTGACTGATGACCTTAAATTACTTTCCAGTGTAATTATTAGCACAGTCCGAATTATCTAATAAATGTCGTCCAAAGCAGAATCACATCTCATCGTAGTCATAATGTTCTGACATGGGCAGGTCTGTTGTATAATTAAGGATGCCACTAAATTCGTTCTCTCTAAAAATGAGGAGTTTATTCTTGCTCATAGTTTCAACTTTGGTTACACACTCATCCCACATTAAACTGGAAGAGGTAGTTACTGAGTTCAAACTCTTTCATCATCTCTGCATATTACAGTATCCAGCAAGGATGCTTTGGCCCTGAAAGCGCAGCTAGCAACTATAAAGATGTATAGACATTACACCTCATGACTTAACAGATTTTCATCTGACATCTGAATGGCTAAATAATCACGTGGCAAACACTGAAGTACACATATATGTAAACCAGCCAAAGGAATTGAGTAGTCATAGTCAAATGTGATCACACCAACAAAATGCTTGCTGTTCTCAATGGTAGTTCATAGCTTATATCTATACAACGGCCACGACACAAGACCATACAGCCATACTCGAGGGCAAGTGCAGAGGCGCTGGTTGGACTTGATTAAGGGTGGTAACCTGTCTGGTGATGTCTATGTGATAGAAGTCAACCTCATGGTGAGGACAGTCAATAAAGCATACAATATCCTTTCTTTTTATTAATAGTGCCATAGACTACAAGAGCAAGGAGGTGATATTGAACTTAAACACAGTACTTGTTAGACCTCACCTGAGATATTGTGTACAATCTGGGCGTCACATTATAGGAAGGATGTGAACACATTAAAGAAAGTGCAGAAGTGATTTAAAAGAATGGTTTGTGGGATGAGAAATTTTAGTTGAGGATAGAATGAAGAAGTTAGGACTATTCTCCTTGGACAGAAGAAGGCTAAGAGGAGATTTGGTAGAGGTCAAATGTAAGAACATAAAAATTAGGGGCAGGAGTAGGTCATCTGGCCCGTTGAGCCTTCTCCACCATTCAATAAGATTGTGACTGATCTTTTTGTGGACTCAGGTCCACTTACCCGCCCACTCACCATAACCCTCAATTCCTTTACTGTTCAAAAATCTATCCATTTTAGTGTTAAAATCATTCAACGAGGTAGCCTCAATTGCTTCATTGGGCAGGGAATTCCACAGACTCACAAGCTTTTGGGTGAAGAAGCTCCTCCTCAACTCAGTCTTAAAATTTTCAAAATCATAAGCAGGCCTGACAGAGTACTCTGCGAGAAACTGTTCCCAATAGATCAAGAACCAGAAGGCATGAATTTAGAGTGATTTGCAAAATGAGCAAATGTGATGCAAGAAAAAACCTTTTTCACACATTGAGTAGTTTGGGTATGGAATACACTGCCTGGAAATGTGGTGGAGCTGGGTTCAACTGTAGCATTCAAGAGGGCATTTGAATGATTATCTGAATAGAAATAATGTGTAAGGGTATTAGGATAAAGCAGGAAACTGACTGTAGGTAATGATGCTAATTTGATAAATTGGACATTATAGGCTGAATGGCCTCCTTCTGTACCACAATACTTCTGTAAAGGGATGTCCCTTTACAACATATTTTATCTATGGCTAGCTCTGAACAACATGAATTAGCCAAATGGTTGTGCGAGCTGTTCCAACCAGTCTTAAATAAGTTTTCCACAAACACTATGAAGGATTCCTTCACTTTTACAAACACATTGTAAGACCTATGTATTGAGATCGTAGCATATCCATGTGCTCTTTGACGCGGCTACCTTACTTACTAATTTGCCACTCGAGGAAGCCATTGATATTGTCATTGTGTCACTATATCATGGCATCCTCGATGTTCCATCAGTGCCTGAATCTGTATTCATCAAATTCATGAGCTTAGCAACTTGTGCCACTGAGTTCAGTTTCATGACATGTATGATATGATATAGGATTCCCTTTAGGCCAGCTCTTGTTCACATCTTTGCTAATCACCTCGAGAAGCATGTCTTCAATGAAAGACCGTTAACTTCATACCTCTTGCATACTTTTTTGGAAGGGAGAACAAAAGAACAGAGTATTATTTAAATAGAGAAATACTGCAGAAAGCTGCAATACAAACGAACTTGGGGGTTTCTTGCGCACGAAACACAGAAAGCTAGCACACAGGTGTAGCAGGTAATCAGGAAGACTAATAGAATGTTAGGCCTTAATTCAAGGGGGTTGGAGTATAAGCGTAGGGAAGTCTTACTGCAACTGTACAAGGTGCTGGTGAGACCACATCTGGAGTACTGTGAACAGTTTTGGACTCCTCATTTAAGGAAAGATAAAATTTCATTGGAACTGTTCAGAGAGGTTCACAAGGTGATCCCTGGTATGGAGACACTGTCTTTTGAGCAAAGGCTAAACAGGTTGTGACTCTACTGACTGGAGTTTAGAAGAATGTGAGATGATCTCATCGAAACATCCAGGATTCTTAAGGGGCTTGACAGGGTAAATGCTGAGAGCATGTTTCCCTCATGGGAGAGTCGAGGACCAGAGGGCATACGCTCAGAATAAAGGGGCTCCAATTTAAGACTGAGATGAGGAGGAATTTCTTCTTTCAGAGGATTGAGAATCTTTGGAACTCCTTGCCACAGAGGGCTGTAGGGGCAGAGTCCTTGTGTATACTTACAGCTGAGATAGATAAATTTTTGATCAGTCGGGGCATCAAGGGTTATGGAAAAAGGACAGGAAAGTCGACCTGAAGAATGTCAGCTCAGCCATGATCTTATTGAATGGCAGACAGGCTCAGGGGGCCAAATGGCCTACTCCTGTTCCTACTTGTTATAGTCTTATGAAGCCATAATAACAAATCTAGTACCGGTGACTGAATCACAGCAGGTAGAGAAGTAAAATTATCACAGAAGGAGACACTCAAAGAGCCATTCACCTAGCACCACCTCCCCGCCAACCTTCTCTCCAAAGCTCTGCAAAGCCTTCTTTTCCAGATAGTAATCCCTATCCCTTTTAAATGCTTCAATTGAACTTATCCTCACCATACTGTCAGTCAATGTGCTCTAGTTTCTAACCAGATCTACATAAAACATGTTTTCCCTCATGTTGCTATTGCTTTGCTTGCCAAATACCTTTAATTCTGCGTTCTCTGCTTCCCAATTGTTCCATCAACTGGAACCATTTCTCATTATCTATTCTGTTCAGACCCCTCAATCTGAATACTTCTATCATATCTCCAATCAGTCTTCTCTTCAAGAAAACAGTTCAAACTTCTCCAATCTGTCAACACAATTGTGTATGTTTCAACATAAGTTCATCATCCCTGGAACCATTCTTCTGAATCTTTTCTGCATTATTTCTAATGCCTTCACATTCTTCCTAAGGTAGGGCATCAAAACTAGAAGTAATACTCCAATCACCACTGAAACAATGAATTCGAATTGAAATTTGCATTTGAAACAACTGAATTTTTGGAGGTGTTGAAAGTGATTGACGAGTAGATGTTGTCTACGTGGATTTTAGTAAGGCTTTTGACAAAGTCCCTCCAGGTAGACTTATCCAGAAGATTAAAGTGCATGGGATCCACGGTGACCTGGCTACTCGGATTCAGAATCGGTTTGCCCATAGAAGGCAGAGGGTAATGGTGGAAGGGTGTTTTTCTGGCTGGAGGTCTGTGACTAGTGGTGTTCCACAGGGATCTGTACTGGGACCTCTGCTATTTATGATATATATTTAAAAATGGCTTGGATGAAAAAATGTAAATGAGTTAGTTAGTAACTTTGCAGACAATACAAAGATCAATGTGGAAGGTTGTCAAAGGATACAGCAGGACATAGACCAGTTGCAGATATGGGCGGAGAAATAGCAGATTAATCCAGTTAAGTGTGAAGTGCTGCACTTTGGGAGATCAAATGTTAAGGAAAAGTATAGTTAATGGCAGGACCCTGAACGGCATTGATGTACAGAGGGATCTTGGAGTTCAAGTCCATAGCTCCCTGAAAGTGGCCATGCAAGTAGATAAGATGGTAAAGAAGGCGTAAAGCATGCTTACCTTTATTGGTCAGGGAAAAAAGTACAAGAGTCAGGATGTCATGTTGCAGTTTTATAAGACTTTGATTAGGCCACATTTAGAGTATTGCATTCAGTTCTGGTTGTCACATTACAGGAAGGATGTGGAGGCTTTGGAGAGGGTGCAGAAAAGGTTTACCAGGATGCTGCCTGGATTAGAGACTATGAGGTGTAAGGAGAGACTAGAAAAACTCAGACTGTTTTCTATGGAGCAGTGGAGGCTGAGGGGAGGCTTGATAGAAGTTTATAAAATAGAGATGCATAGATAGGGTTGACAGTCAGAATCTTTTTTCCAGAGTTGAAATGCTGAATTCCGGGAGCATGCATTTAAGATGAGAGGGGGTAAGCTCAAAGGAGATGTGAGGGGCAGGTTTTTTATTTAACACAGAGAGCAGTAGGAGTCTGGAACTAGCTGCCAGGGGTGGTGGTGGAGGCAAATACAATTGGGCATTTAAGTGATTTTTAGATATGCACATGAACATGCAGGGAATGGAGGGATATGGACCAAGGGCAGGCAGAAGGGATTAGTTTAACTTGGTGTCATGATCAGCATGGGCTGGAGGACCCATTCTGTTGTACTGTTCCATGTTCTAATGATTTGCACAAGTTCCACAAAGTTTCCTTGCTTTTGTGCTCTGCGCCCCTATTAATAAATCATAGGATGCAGCCTGTTTTATTAACCGGTCTCAACCTGCCCTGCCATCTTCAATGTTTCATGTAAATACTGTATACACAGATGTTCCTCTGCCCTTGCACTCCCTTTAGAAATGCACTCTTTGTTTTGTATTGTATCTCTTTGTACCAAAACAAACTACTTCTAACATCTTTGCATTCAATTTCATCTGAAGTTGTCCACCCATTCCACCAGTCTATGTTCCTTTTGATTCTAAAATATTTATATCACAGTACACAATATTTAAAAGCTTTGTTTTGTCTGCAAATTTGAAAATTGTTCCCTGTACACCAAGGTCTAGGATTTTACAGAGAAAAGGAGGGGTCCTCACACTGACCGCTGGGAACTCGGCTATAAACCTTCTATCAGTTTAAAAAACAACCATTAGCCATTGTTCTCTGAAGTCCCTCACCCCCGGTATATGCCTTGACAGATGTCGGACAGTGTGCTGCACCCAATTTTTCAACAGATCTATGAAGACTTGGCATCACTTTTGCGCCAAGGGGAAAAATGTCAAGATGCATTGCAGGCATGATAAACTATGATAAACACTTTTAAAAGTGATCCAACAATGCAGGTCTAAGGTCAAGCAGTTTAATAAGATCATTATTTTGTTCACCCTATTACTCTTTTAATAATCTGATGAGGTAGCAGATAGAAAATAAAATTTCTAATGAAGAAATAATGAGCAAATTTGATCCCTATTTCATTATTTGACAGAATTGAAATGAAATACCATTGATGCTATGCTGTGCAGTAGTTCCTCTGTTACTAACCTCGGACTTCAAACTGTCGATATTCCTTTGTTTTAAGCAAAGGATGCGCAAAGCAAAACCATGGAACTTGTGTTCGAAGCCGGGGGAGCAGATAGTGAGTCAAGAATCCAACTGTTGCAGCCAAAGCACACAACACAATATCAAGGAAGGGCTGGAACCGAGAAAATTGATTAATTAGAATCAAGATGTCATTCATTGTTAAAATATTTCAAGAGCAATTCAGAATCTGCATTCAAACTTGAATGTCCTGTCAGCTTTAACAAACACTGGCTCTGGCCTTTGTTTTACATTTTGTTGACTATTTGGAGTAGTGCCTGAATGACGATTATGGAAGACAGCAGCAGACCTAGAAGAGAAGGGCAATAAGATGCACCCGTTACCCACAATAGCTTTCAATTCAGCAAAATGTCCATCCTCTTGGTCTGTTGCCTCCATAGTAGAGGATATCACCAAGCAGGTTCAGGATATTCTAGAAGGGGAAAGTTAACAGTCAGATTGGCAACAGTAGCATAGGTGGTAAAAGTTTTCATGCCCCCCTGGCAGATATTCTGGAAGTAGGCAAAAGACGAGAAAGGACCTCAGAGATAGTAATCTCATGACTACTCCCAAATGCTAGTGAGTACAGAGCAGGAGGCTGGTGCAGCTGAATGTACAGCTGCAGTAGTGGTGCAGGAGCAGGTTTCAGATTCCTGAAGCATTGGAACTGGTTATGAGGGAGAGGACACCTATAGAAGATGGACAGATTGCATATGAACAAAGATGGGAGCAAGATTCTCACTGTGAGATTAACCAGTACTGATGTGGCAGGTTAAATCTAATTTGATAGAGTGAGGCAAAATAGAACATAATCGGGAGGACAGGAAATGAGGTCACATCACATATGAAAATACAAATCAGGAGCAGGAATAAGCCATTCGGCCCTGCTGGTCTGACTCTGCCATTCTACTACATTATAACTGATCTGATGGTAACCACAAATCCACATTCCCAACTAGCCCTGTTAACCTTAGCTGAAGAAGAATCTATCCACTTCTGCCTCAAAAATATTCAAAGGTCTCTGATTGGAGGAGAGACTCTTCAGTAAGAGAGTTCCTAAGACACATAACTCTCTGAGAGAAAATATTTAATCAAATCTGTTTAAAATGGACAACCCCTGATTTTTAAACACAGTGATGCCAAATTCTAGATTCTCCCATAAGAGGAAACATCCTTTCCGCATCTATTCTGTCAACACCCCTTAGGATTTTATATGTTTCAATTAGGTCACCTCTTACTCTTCTAAACTCCAGCAGATACAAGTCTAATCTCTCATAAGACAATTTGCCCATTGCACATATTAGTTTAGTAAACCTTCTCTGAATGGCCTCAAATATATTTATATCATTCCTTAAATAAGGTGACTAATACAACATGCACAATACTCCATGTGATCTCACTAATGTCCTGTATAACTGAATATAAGCTCCCCCCTCTTGCACTCAATTGCCCTCATAATAAAACATAACATCCTATTAACTTTCCTGATTACTTGCTATACCTGTATACTAACCTTCTGTAACAAAAACAGAAGTTGCTGGAAAAGCTCAGCAGGTCTGGCAGCATCCATGAAAAAAAATCAGCGTTAACGTTTCGGGTCTAGTGACCCTTCCTCAGAGCTGTTGGTAGCCAGGAAAATGTCAGTTTATATGCAGAAGATAGGGTGGGGGGAGGGGATAAGGAGTAAACGATAGTGGGGGATAGAGCCCAAAGAAAGGGAAGAACAGTTGAATGGATAAAGGAGTTAATAACGATCTGGCTAGGTGGATGAATAGCTGTTAATGGGGACTGTTGGTGACTAACCATAGGTAGTGTATAATAGCAGACTATGTGATATCAAGGCTTGGTGTGTGGGATAGGGGTCTAGGACATGGCAGAATTCAGGCCCTAAAATTATTGAACTCGATATGGAGTCTGGAGGGCTGCAGGGTCCCCAAGCGGAAAATGAGGTGTTGTTCTTCCAGTTTGCGCTCAGCTTCACCGGAACACTGCAGCAAGCTTGAGATAGAGATGTTGCCCAGGGAACAGGGTGATGTGTTAAAGTGGCAGGTTCAGGGTCCTTTTTTGCTGGCAGAACGTAGATGTTCTGAGAAGCAGTCACCCAGTCTACACTTTGTTTCCCCAGTGTACAGGAGACCACATTGTAAGCAACGAATGCAGTAGAATAGATTGTGGGAAATGCAGGTAAAGTGCTGCTTCACCTGGAAGGTATGTTTGGGCCCTTGGATACTGGGGACGGAGGATATAAATGGGCAGGTGTTACATCTTCAGCTGTTGCAGGGAAAGGTGCCGTGGGGCTGCGGAGGGAGTGTTGGGATTGAAGGAAGAGTGGACCAGGGTGCCCCGGAGGGAACGGTCCCTGCAGAAGACAGACAAGGGAGAGGACGGGAATATGTGTCTGGTGGCGGTATCTCGCTGGAGGTGGCGGAAATAGTATGGTCTTCTGGATTTGGATGCTAGTGACATGGTACACAAGGACGTGGGGAACCTTATTGCCCTTGTGGGAGTGAAGAGAGGTGGTGAGGGTGGAAGTGTGGGAAATAGGTCGGACCTGGTTAAGGGCCCTGTCAACAACGGAGCTGGGGAATCCTCGGTTGAGGAAGAAGGTGAACATTTCAGAGGCTCCCTTGTCAAAGTTGGCCTTATTTGAACAAATGTGATGGAGACAGAGGATTTGAGAGAACGGAATGGAGTCTTTACAGGAAGCAGGTTGCAAGGATATATAGTCCAGGTGGCTGCGGAGTCAGTGGATTTATAGTGGATATTAGTGGCCAGTCTTATCCCCAGAAATGGAAACAGAGTTGTCAAGGAAGGGACGGGAGGAGTCAAAGATGGGCCAGGTGAAAGTGAGGGCAGGGTGGAAATTGGAAGTGAAATTGATGAACTCTTCTAATTCTGGATGAGAGAGGAAAGTAGCACCGATGATATCATCGATATATCAGAGAACGAGTTATGGGTGGGGACAGGAATAGGACTGGAACAAGGAATGTTCCACATATTCCACAAAGAGACAGGCATAACTGGGGCCGCCATGAAGGCACTCATGGCCAGCCCTCTGAGCTGAAGGAAATGACAGGACTTAAAAGAGGTGTTGAGGTTTTGGATGAACTTGGCCAAGGAGAGGAAGGTGGTGGTGGGTGGGGACGGTTCAGGCCTTTGCTCCAGGAAGAAGCAGACAGCCCTGCGATCAACCCGATGGGGAATGGACATGTAAAGGGATTGCACATCCACTGTAAAGAGGTGGTGGCTGGAGCCTGATAACTGGAAAATTCTGAAACTGGCATAAAGCATCAGAGGAATCATGGATGTGGGCAGGGACTGGACCAGGGGAGAAAAGACTTGAGTCAAGGTAGGAAGAGATGAGTTCTGCGGGGCAGAAGCAGGCTGAAACAATGGGTCTGCCTGAGTAGCCCTGTTTGTGGACTTTCGGAAGGAAGTAGAAGTGAGTTGTGCAGGGCTGGGGGAATATCAGCTTGGAGGCAGTTTTGGGTGGGGGCGGGGGAGAGGAGAGATCACCAGATGAAATGAGGTCAGTTACCGCAGTTGATACAATGGCCTGATTGCCATGGTGGGGTCATGGTCCAGGGGAAAATAGGACGAGGTATCTGAGATGTGGCACTCAGCCTCTGCAAAGTAGAGGTCAGTACACCAGGCTACGACAGCATCATGCTTATTGGCAGGCTTAATAACAAAGTCAGGTTTGGATCTAAACGCATGGAGTGCAGTCAGTCCGGAAGGAGATAGTTTGGATTGGGTGAGGAGGCGAGTGTCATGTCGACAGTTCTCAATGAACAGATCAAGTGAGGGTAAAAGGCCAGGGGAAGAGATCCAGGTGGAAGGAGAGTGTTGGAACTGGGTAAAGGGGTCTGTGGGACGGGAAGAATACTCTTGACCAAAAAAATGGGCACGGTGGTGAAGACAGTAGAAGAAGAGTTCGACGTCATGTTGTGCCCAAAATTCATTAAGGTCCGGATGCAGAAGGATAAAGCTGAGACCTTTGCTGAGTACAGAACATTCAGCATTGGAGTGCGGAAGGCGATTCCTGCACTAGAACACCCAGATCTCCTTGTACCTCAGAGATCGACAACCACTCATCATTGAGATAATAAGCTTCCTTTTTGTTCTTTCTACCAAAAGGGTCAATTTCACACTTTCACACATTGTATTTCATGTCCTCTTCTCAACTCACTTTCCCACCCATCTTTGTGTCATTGGCAAATGTAGCTACCGTACCTTCTGTAAAAATTTGAGGCCCAAGCATTGATCCCTGTTGTACACTAATTGCCAGCCTGAAAAGGGCTCATTTATTTCTACTCTCTGCTTCCTGCCAGACAGCCAACCTTCTGTCCATGAAAAATGTTACTGCCAATATCATGAACATTTTTATGTTTTGCAATAATCCTTGATCTGGCACCTTATCAAATACCTTCTGGAAATAGATATATAATACATCCTGTGATTCCCATTTATCTATCTCCAATAAATGATTTAAACATGATTTCCCATTAACAAAACCATGTTGGCTTTGCCTGATTACTTTGAACTTATCCAAGTGCACTGTTATAACATTTTTAATAGTAGTTCTAATATCTTTCCTATGATAAATGTTAAACTAACTGGCCTGTAATTTCTTGCTTTCTGTCTTGCTCCCTTTTTGAAAAGGGGAGTGAGATTAGCTATTTTCCAATCTAAAGGAGCCTTCCTTGAATCTAATGAGTTTTGGAAAATTAAACCAATGCATTGACTATCTCACCAACTACTTCTTTTAAGACCCTGGGATGAAATCACGTTAGCTTCATGTTAGTCAGCCAATCAATGACTATATGCTATCCACTACACTGGGAGGTTTTATTTTCCATAATAACCTGTGATGTGGCACCTATCAAATTCCTTCTGGAAATCTTTGTCCAGTATATCCATTGGCTCCACTTTGTCTGCAGTATGTGTGACTTCCTCAATAATTTTCCAACAACTTCCCCTTTCACAAAGTCATGTTGACTCTCTCGGATTCACAAACTTGTCCGAGTGTTCTGCTATAGCTTCTTTGGTAATCACTTTTATGATGTGGGAGATATAATGTGCAGGAAAATTAGAAATGCCACAAAAAAAACTGTA